GAGAGAGAGAGAGAGAGAGCACTGACAGTGCTGCCAGTCTGAAGACTGAGGTTCTGAATTGAACTGCAAAGCTCGAACTTTTAAGTTATATATGAAGTTATGAACTCAATTTGCTAAATCCAAAGTTCGAGGTTCAAAGTCAATCATACCTTTTTTTTTTTTAATTCTCTGTTTCTTTAGTCTTGTGCCTGCTTTGTACTGTTTGCAACTCTGCATGTCTGCTGGTTAAATGTGCTGGTTGATTTGCTGCAAGACACGTGCTCTGCTGCCTGAACTACAGAATGCAAAGCAGGTAAGTGCCTGCCAACAACCCCACCCAACCTCCCCCCCACCCCCGTTTTTTTTTTTTTTTTTTTTTTTTGGGTCCGGACATTTTTGCACCTCAGTGACCGGTCCAGACTGACCGGTGTCCGGTTATGTCCGGATCACCGGACAGTCCAGACCGGTCCAGACACTGGTCTGGAAGACAGTCCGGAAGTGTCCGGTGTCCGGGTCCGCGGTTACCATGATATGAACAGCGGCTGTGGGGCAAATTCACGAAGATGGAAAGACTTGAAAAAGTGGCCAAACTGGCAGTCTGCACCCACCAGCATCATTGAACCTGGCCACCGAACATGAGCCCTTGTGAGATGTGCACTACATCTCCAGCAGGTTTTGATGCAGCCATGCCCAGAGCCCACCATTACACCTGAGGGCTCAGATGTGGGTGGTCCCCACGGGGCAACGGTGGATAGAAGTTTGAACCGCCAGTACATTTCCGAGCTATTTACTTCGAATGAGGTCATTAACTTGAATGCGCCCCGTCTTACGGGAATTTGGCATATAAAACGGAACGCTGGCCGCACCAGTTCAACAAAACTTGGCTCATTGCAGGAACCAGCCCCAGGAAAAACAGGGTCAAAAGTACTGGTGGTTTAAGGCACCGGCACACCACATATCGGCCCGCGGGTGTCAGCATGAAACCCGCACCGCTTCGGAGGCCGCCATTTTTTTTTTTTTTCTTTCAACGGCAGGCCTGGCCGCGCGGCGCCTCCAAGTTTTGCTTATGGCAACAAAAACTTTCTGCAAGGCCGGGGCTGTGTACTAGCGGTTTTAACCGTCCATCCACCTCCAGAGAACGCCATGCTTTTCAGAGTCAGTTGTTCAACTTGGCCTCTGAGGGTGAATTCGCACCGGAAATTCTTCAACTGAATATTGCGTCGACTGTGTTTCAGATGCATGCCGGAAAAACCTATCGTCAGCATGAAAATTTTGAAAGGGCTCTGTGAAATGAAGGTTCCGAAATGTATCATGTACCAGTGATCTCTTCGGTGGTGACCAAAAGCAACACATTGCTCATCCCTTTTCTTGTTGCCAAGGCCCACTATTGCGTTGCAAGAAGAACTTCTAAGACTTGAGACCAGGCCCTAGTGATCGATAATTAAACCGCTGGTACAGAGTACTGAGATCCCGCCAATCCGAAAATTTCGGGGGCTCAAGGCTACCCAACTACTGGACCACAATGGTTGTCGGCGTCAGGCCAAAAACAAAAAAAGTGTGCGACGTTGGTGGCTCGGCAAACAAAAGCTTCGCGCGCCATGCAAATCCGCCAGGGCAAAAAGAGGCTGAGATGTACTGGTCCTTTAAACCACCAGTACTTGGGCGACGCCTTAGCGTTAACGCTACGCGATTTCCGCGGCCGGCAGGCCATCGATAAATCGAATCGACAGCCCGCGCTGCTTCGAGACTTGGGCGGCCGGCGCGGCACGCAGTGCCCAAGTACTGGTGGTTTAAACCACCAGTACCTTGCCCAGCCATTGAAGCCGAGCCTGAAAATGGCCTGCTCGCCAAAAAAAAAAAAAACAAAAAAAAACGGGTGTGGGCCTCATTTTTGGCTGGCAGCCATTTTGGTCCGATACCCCAACCCCCGAAAGTTGCGGCAAAATATGAGCCGCATATTTGTTTTTCCAGCGGGGAAAGGTACTGGTGGTATGAAGTAAACAATCTGTCAGAAATAACCAACAGTTCTCTTCAAATCGCCAACAGTAGATAGGAACCGAACTGTCTCACGGCGTTCTAATTAGCATTTTTTAATTTTTTTATAACACGGCACCTTGCGAATATGTTGTGCTGTATCTAAAGCTTTGAGTGATAAGTTTTCAAAGTGTTGAAAATGCGCTTGTCCATGAAAAATGTGCTTCCAATTGGTTAACAAACCTCCAATCCATTTATGATTTATATAACCTGAATGGGTCTAAAAGGTTTTACATCGTACCGTCTCCTTCTGACCGATTTCCTAACAAAGACCTACACGCAGCCCACTGGCATCTGACATGTTCATGCTACCCGACCCGTTAGGGCCTGGTCACACTGGTGCTTTCTAAGCTCTCTCACCTCAAATACACCACCAGCCGTCCCCAGATCTTTCAGCTCAGTAAATTCAGTTAGCTCATGCTCTTGCATGCCTGAGTTCGATAGGTGTTGGGTTCAAGACCAATCGATGACACTCCCTCGCCAGTTGCTGGGCCAATTTCTACACCGCCTGAAAGCTATAGACTTGCTGCAGCACAGCCTGGTAAGGAGAGGCTAGCCTGAAGGAGGGGATATTGAGCAGAGGGTGTCAACAGGCATTGAGCCCTCGTCAGTGGGTTCAAAACCCACTCAAGCAGCATGGCTACAGTCATAGCAGAATGCTTGGTCTTTGTGTTAGCCGAGGCCCGACTCGCGACCCCAACCCCGCACCCTGACCACTATGACCGGTAGCTATGCTTCCAGCGGTCCCCTTCTATAGCCTTAGAATAGTGGTAGTAGGGTCCTGACAGGTGGCTTTGAGAAAAGAGTACAGCTTAGGTAGAAAGAGAAAAAA